TCTTGCCTTGTCAATTATAATGTACAACGGGTGACACTATAATAAAAGTTTCTCCTTCTGCTGCATTTCTGCCGCATTCCGCAATTATTCCGCAATTATTCCGCCATTATCCCAAGGTCGTGACCTGCGGAGTCTCAAGACTCCGTCTGGGTTTAATGTACTAAGGCTTTGTTGTGTGTGGGTATCAGAGCGTTGTGTACCCGGGGTTTTAGTGTCGGGGTCTTATCTGAAGCAGTCAACCGTAGGCTGTGATTATCTGGTTATAATGCACATGTGAGTGGAGGGTAACAAGTATGACGATGTATCTGTCTCTGAGTGTGCGTCAGTAGGGGGGTGTGTGTGTGTTATATCATGTCCTAGCAAACGCTGTGTGCCTGCTTTTATAAACCTCCAGTGAGGTCATCCTTTTGTTCTCAAGTCGGGTTAAATATCATAAACAGGGATGTTGTAATGTCCCGAGGATTTTTTATGTAATGTGTAATTATGTAATGTGTAATATTATATAAAACACGTCCCATTAGGCTACAGGGGCGCTGATAAACCGAAAAAAGAAACTGAAAACAACATTTATCAACATTTTTATGTTTCAAACATACTCCATGAACCTTAGGAAACGGGAACAAAATATCTGTTGCTTGCGTACGGTTCTTTCAAACGACATTCTACAAAATATTGCGTTTATCATAATCTCATGACAATCAGATCTTAGTTCTCGCTGCCGCTAAACAAAGATCTGGGGACATCCCATTGCGGGTCACGTCAGAACGACCTTTCGCGAACTTTGACCAACCACTGAAATGACTAACAAGAAGTCGACATAAGCCAATTAGAAAGCAGCTTTCTGGAGCTTTACGGCAATCGTTTCAACCAGGCGACTTTCATTTCAGACTACGCTTGAAGGATATGTTGACACAGTTCTCGATTAAAATTTTGAAAACTGAACAAACGAACATCCTTGAATGCCTTATACATGATTGTGATTGCATGGCTGTACTTCCCATGTACTGTGCAAGGCCTCCTCCGTTCAAATGTTTATCCCACGGAATGGAGAGATAGACGATAATTTTGACGGAATCAGTCTACGGATCTTATCTGTCGTTCGGAATACCCCGTGTTAACATTTTCGATCAGAAAACACATTTCGACTGTCACGTTCATGATCTGGTAAGCGAGGCTCTGATTGGTCGGATGAAAGGTCGTTCTGACGTGACCCGTAATGGGATGTCCTCAGATCTTTGTTCAGCGATGGCGAGAACTAAGATCTGATTTTAATGAGATTTTGATAAAACGCAATGTTTTTTAGAATGTCGTTTTCAAGAATCGTACGCCAGCAACAAATATTTTATGCCCGTTTCCTACGGTTCATGGGAAGTTTGTTTGAAACATAAAAATGTTGATAAATGTTGTTTTAAGTTTCTTTTTTTCGGTTTATAAATTAGATAAAACACTTACCCTGTTTTTTTATGACATTTTCTTTGGGATAAAATCTCGGGCGGATTTTAAATATCATAAAGACCCAGGACGTGCTTTATCCGTCACATAATGACATCTCTTACTACGAGTCATTTCGGCTAAATAGGTCCAATGGAGCGTTTAACTTGCACAAATCGGTATATCTGTAAACATATGACACTATAAAAAATTATATGACAAAGGCGGACACGAAGGGAAAGATTGAATGACCATTTTTGTGTACAAACCTGTGGTCATTCCGAATCAAGGGTCTCCGTTATCCACGCTTGTCCAAGAGCTGGGTGGACATCGAGGGGTTATACCTTACACATGAATGTCGGATTCTGATTGGCTGAGACCCTTATTATTATTTTCAATGTACCCCGCTAACATGTAAGGTACATTTCTTAGTTTACCCGCTCCAATTGCCGAATTGGTGGCTGCATTTGCTGCATGCGTACCGCAATTTTGAGATTCCATTTATTCTGTTCTTGTTTGTTTGTTTGTTTGTTTGTTTGTTTAACGCCGCACTCAGCAATATTCAAGTTGTGACGGCGGTCTGTAAAATAATCGAGCCTGGATCAGGCAGTCCGATGATTGACATCATGAGCATCGATCCACGCAACTGAGATGGATGACATGCATCAACCACGTCAACCAGCCTGACCACCCGATCCCGTTAGTCGCCTCTTACGACAAGAATGGGTTGCTGAAGACCTATTCTACCCCGGATCTTCACAGGTCAATTAACTATGTAAGACGCCACTATCCTTATATTACGATATAAGTTTATTGATGCCGGAACCCCTGGGTTGATATACTCTCCATGTAAGTTTATGTTCCCTGAGCCCTTGGGTCGATGTACTCTCCATGTTAGTTTATGTTCCCTGAGCCCTTGGGTTGATGTACTCTCCATGTTAGTTAATGTTCCCTGAGCCCTTGGGTTGATATACTCTCCATGTTAGTTGATGTTCCCTGAGCCCTTGGGTTGATGTACCTCCATGTTAGTTAATGTTCCCTGACCCCTTGGGTCGATGTTCTCTCCATGTTAGTTAATGTTCCCTGAGCCCCTGGGTTGATGTACTCTCCATGTTAGTTAATGTTCCCTGACCCCTTGGGTCGATGTACTCTCCATGTTAGTTAATGTTCCCTGAGCCCTGGTGTCGATGTACTCTCCATGTTAGTTAATGTTCCCTGAGCCCTGGTGTCGATGTACTCTCCATTTTAGTTAATGTTTCCTGAGCCTTGGTGTCGATGTTCTCTCCATGTTAGTTGATGTTCCCTGAGCCCTTGGGTTGATGTACTCTCCATGTTAGTTAATGTTCCCAGAGCCCTTGGGTTGATGTACCTCCATGTTAGTTAATGTTCCCTGAGCCCTTGGGTCGATGTACTCTCATGTTTGTTTATGTTCCCTGAGCCCTTGGATCGATGTACTCTCCATGTTAGTTAATGTTCCCTGAGCCCTTGGGTCGATGTACTCTCCATGTAAGTTAATGTTCCCAGAGCCCTTGAATCGATATACTCTCCATGTTAGTTAATGTTCCCTGAGCCCTTGGGTCGATGTACTCTCCATGTTAGTTAATGTTCCCTGAGCCCTTGGGTCGATGTACTCTCCATGTTATTAAATGTTCCCTGAGCCCCTGGGTTGATGTACTCTCCATGTTAGTTAATGTTCCCTGAGCCCTTGGGTCGATGTACTCTCCATGTAAGTTAATGTTGTACTCGTCATGTTATTTTATATTGAGATGGAGTAATACACACGTCATGGACAACAACACTTTCAATATTTGTGACCAATCATGGAACAAGAGACATCATGGGTGAAAATTCGCATTTTTTACTTCTCATTATATTTTAGAACTACAGCATCGTGGGACCACAGCAGTACAATTCATAAGCTTCAATTCATATTTATTATAGGGATATATGACATCAAATATTTGGACTCATTTTTCGACACATAACTATTGATGTAATATTTGCAGTTTTTCGATATAATGTTGATTAATTGAAAGTAGACATGCATGCTGGCTGCTTGCCTATGGTGGCTGTGGCTGAGAAGTGCGAGGCGGTATAAGGTTAAGTAGATTTATTGACACGCTAATGCTTCACGAATGTCAGAATTTATTCTGTGTCACATACGTCAGCTGTTTCACAGCGAGTTCAACACAAATGACGCCGTTCTCTACTTTCATCCCAATTCCTGTGAATAAAGTTTCTTTTTAAATGCACAACGCCAGAGAGTAACCAGGCTCGCTTATCCACCGAAACCGTTTCCAAAGGTGCAAAAGGCAAATTAGCGAGGAAAATTATATGAATGGATCATTGAAAATCAGTGATGACACCAGGTGTTCGCGAAACGTAAAGTCAGGTCGACCTGTGTTCACATCATATATGAAATCACGCCGTCGAGGTAACACGACAGGCAGTCACCACGTAAAGTGGGCGAGTTCATAGTCACGTTGACAGTTTTTCAAGCACATCGTCCCTAGTACAAGTTAAACACAATGACATATACAGCCCTGTCGACGACGGACCTTAAAATAAGTAGATTACCACATGTGTTATATAACTTTTATGGGGGGGGCACGGGTGGCCCAGTCGTCTAAAGCGCCGCGATTCGCTGTGCAGAGTTGCGTCCCTTGGGCACGCCAGAAACCTATGATTGTGGGTTCGAATCCCGGTTCGCCCCGATTATGTTTCTAGGTTTGTCAGCACCATACCCCTGCTCGTTGGTTTCACCGAAGTGGTAAACGTCTGAGACCTGCATCACTTCGGGTTTTCCTCCCACATTAAGCTAACACGTCGTGATATAACTGCAATACTGTTAAAAGCGGCGTTAAACCCAACTCATTCACTCACTCACTATAACTTTTATGAGAGCATTAAACACTTTACACCATTCAGGGTACAACTCCCTCATCAAGGGTACAACTCCCATCGAGGGTACATACGCCCCATCGTTTCAATTCTCTCAAATTGAAGTAAGCGCCATCGCGATGTCGTTGCGATCGGGTCGCGAATCCAACTGCTAGCAGAGAAACCTTCTGTCGCGATCCGATCGCGGCGAGATAGCGGCATGTTTTGGATCAGAACCTTGTGCTGTAAACAGGAAGGGCCAGTTACACTTCTTACGGGGATATTGCAGGCACATCGTTACGTGGGTCTCCTTATGTACACGACACCGTAGTCAGCTACAAGGGTCACACAGGGCGTCCGCCCGGAGAGTGGAAGGTCCGGGGGTCGATCGCGGAACGCGTCTTACCAAAAGACGTTAAAAGATGGTACTTGTTGTAACCCTCTCTGGCGCTCGGCATTTATGGGCTGAAACACGGACTGGTCGGCTCGGAGTCAGTATACTGTGTCTGAGTGGGGTATTCATGTTAAACTGCGGCATGGTATCTCAGTGAGCCAGCACTATAAATCGGCATCAGTCCGGACTAGTACAAGCAACCACACAAACACACACACGTACATGCACTTCGCTATATAAGTGCAATAATCTTGGACGGGAAGTTAAACCCCATTTCACCTCATCTGTGTTTCAGGGATGCTGATGGTGTCCTCGGGGGTCCTGCTGCTCGTGGAGGGGGATCCAACTGTTCGCATCAATAAGACAAATGGCACGCTTCTAGTAGCATCCGCTGGGAAGTCCGTGAAACTGGACTGTGTTGTCACCGGGATAAACACGGCCAAGTCTATACAGGTAATATCACACCTTATGCTATGTGGTTATAAACTAAGTTAAGGGAAAGATATGTTCGGGCTGAATCCATAATTCCTTAGTTTCAAAACCTAGGCGCTCTTGTAAAAAAATCATGAGATAAGCAGTATTTTTGGTTATTTTCTGGAAGAAGTTTTCTTTTTTAAACTGAATTTCCGGGCCTGCAGAATATCAAACATTGTTATTGAGTTTAGTTTGGACGGATACATTGGACGGATACAATGGACGATACACTGGACGATACAATGGACGGATACAATAGACGGATACATTGGACGATACAATAGACCGATACAATAGACGGATACAATGGACGGACAAAATGGACGGATACAATGGACGGATACAAAGGAAGGATACAGTATACAGATACAGTAAACATATACAATGGACGGATACAATAGCCGGATACAATGGACGGATACAATAGACGGATACATGGACATATACAATGGACGAAATAATGGACGAAATAATGGACGATATAATGGACGAATACAATAGACGATACAACAGACTGGTACAATGGACGAGTGCAATGGACGGATACAATGGACGGATACAATGGACGATACCGTGGACGATAAAATGGACGGATAAAATGGACGATACAGTGGACAATACAATGGACGGATACAATGGACGGATACTATGGACGATACAGTGGACGACACAATAGACAGATACAATGAACTAATACAACACACGGATACAATGGACGATACAATGGACGGACACAATGGACGATACAATGGACGATACAATAGACGATACAATGGACGATACAATGGACGATACAATGGACGATACAGTGGACGATACAATGGACGGATACAATAGACGGATACAATAGACGGATACATGGACGATACCATGGACGGATACAATGGACGATACACAGGACGTACAATAGACGATACAATGGACGGACACAATAGACGATACAATAGACGATACAATGGACGATACAATGGACGATACAATGGACGATACAATGGACGGACACAATAGACGATACAATGGACGATACAATGGACGGACACAATAGACGATACAATGGACGATACAATGTACGGATACAATGGACGATACAATGGACGGATACAATGGACGGATACAATGACGTTGATTACTACGGCCTGTCTGTGCAGTTGGGGTGGCAGTTTGTGGTGGACGGCAGCATCAGCCCAATCAGCCTCAACTCCACCGGGGGCTACAGCATCACCGAGGTGAGTCAGAGTGCGAACAGGAGGGTGATCGGGCTACGGATGTCGGCGGTGACGTACGACCACGAAGGATACTACTACTGCCATCTGCGGACGACGCAAGACAGCTACACCGACTACGTGGAACTAAGAGTGGAAGGTATAGTAGAGTGAGTGAGTTAGTGAGTGGTTGAGTGAGTGGTTGAGTGAGTGGTTGAGTGAGTGAGTTGTTGAGTGAGTTGTTGAGTGAGTGGTTGAGTGAGTGATTTAGTGAGTGGTTGAGTGAGTGGTTGAGTGAGTGGTTGAGTGAGTGGTTGAGTGAGTGAGTGGTTGAGTGAGTGGTTGAGTGAGTGGTTGAGTGAGTGGTTTAGTGAAGGGTTGAGTGAGTGGTTGAGTGAAGGGTTGAGTGAGTGGTTGAGTGAAGGGTTGAGTGAGTGGTTGAGTGAGTGAGTGGTTGAGTGAGTGGTTGAGTGAGTGGGTGAGTTGGTGAGTTGGTGAGTTGGTGAGTTGGTGAGTGAGTGAGTGAGTGAGGCACAAATACAGAATTATTGTGAGAATGAGCACATTCTGTACTTATGTTGAGAATCGAACTCGGGTATTGGGCGTCAAGAACGAACGCTTTAACAACTGGGCGACCCCACCGCCAATATGTGTATGTTATATGTACGAAATGTAACAGAAGGGCACAGACTCGGAAACAGGATCCGATGCTCGTGGATTTGAACCAAGCTTCATCGTATGTCTGGGTTATGTGGTAAATGTACAATCGTAATGGACGACGACAGGACTAACTTTTGTAACTCGTCCTCGACAGGTGCGCCCACCATTAACCTGACTGAGACGACGTCACCAGGGGAACTGGCGTCCACATTGCAGAACGCCTTGAATATCATGTGTGTCGTCAGGTCAAGGCCCCAGGCTGAAATAAAGTGGTTCAAGGACGGGACGGAGCTGTACAGTTCACCCTTTGGGTAGGTTCACCCCTAAACATGCATACCAAAAGATGTTAAATGACGCACACCGCACCGCACCGCCCAGCCACGCCACGCCACGCCACGCCACGCCCCTGAATGAGCAACTGTGGGACAACACCAGAAATCGGCCATGGAAGAAATCAAACCCGGGCCTTCTATTAACCATTAGACTACCCCACCGCTCGAACACTTTTGTGAACAACAAAATTAAAAAAACGTATTGTCATTAATTTCATTAATCCGGACATTTGTCAATCCGACTCGTTTATAGGTACATAGCGACAACGTTGAGCCCCAACTCCGTTTAATCATTTCTTTTCAATACAGGTACACCATCACCACCACGGAGCCCCTACTCGGTATAGACGCCGGCAGTACCCTGTCCGTTTTCACATTGACCAGGGACCAGCTGGGGACCTACGTGTGTCAGGCCAAAAACACCAGGGGCCAGGCCAGGGCGGAGTGGCGGGTCACAGGTGGGTGGAACCCCATTCATTGTGTAGTAGTTCCTTTGTTTGTTTGTTGTTTAACGCCGCACTCAGCAATATTCCAGCTATATGACGGCGGTCTGTTAAAAATCGAGTCTGGACCAGACAACCAAGTGGTTGACATCATGAACATCGATCCACGCAACTGGGATCGATGACATGCATCAACCAAGTCAACGAGCCTGATCACCCGATCCCGTTAGTCGCCTCTTACGACAACCATAGTCGCCTTTTACGACAGCATGGGCTGCTGAAGACCTATTATAACCCGGATCTTCACGAAAATCAATGTTTATTAAAGGGGGCGGTCGGGTAGCCTAGTGGTTAAAGCGTTCGCTCGTCACGCCGAAGACCCGGGTTCGATTCCCGACATGGGTACAGTGTGTGAAGCCCATTTCTGGTGTCCCCCGCCGTGATATTGCTGGAATGTACAGAGCTGGAATGTAGAGAGACCTTTTAGCTGGAGGGGATTCCCCCCCCCCACACACACACACACACACACACACACACACACAACTCATGCTTGTCACAAGAGGCGACTAAACGGATCAGGTGGTCAGGCTCGGAGATCGATGCTCATTATGTCAATCACTGGGTTGTCTGGTACAAACGAACCAAACATAAACATGGTCTCTGTTTTACAATGGACACACGGGATGATCCCGAGTTAGAACAGGTTGGTATTAATGGATGGGGCGGTCAGGCTCGGCGATTTTTTTAATATAAAACATTGGTTTGTCGATTGTTTACAGGCTGACGTCATAGAGCTGGAGTATTACTGACGGTGGCGTTAAACAATATTCACACTCCCACACACTGGTTACAAGGTCAAAAGTTCATCAATAATTAACGAGGAATTAAATTTGATAGAATTCAGTCCAGGGCCCCGTTCAAAAAGCGACCGTAGTGGTACGACAGTCGTAAGTCTATGTTAAAGTATGGGACTTGCGCTCACCTTAGCGCTATGATTGCTTTGTGGAACAGGTCCCTGGGGAATGGTAAACAGATGAAATAAGACAAAACAACCATGTAAAACACAATATATGTTGGGGGCACGGGTGATCCAGTCGTCTAAGGCGCCGCGATTCGCTGTGCAGAGTTGCGTCCCTTGGGCACTCCAGAAACCTATGATTGTGGGTTCGAATCCCGTTTCGCCCCGATTATGTTTTTAGGTTTGTCAGTTTGTCGTGGGTTTCACCGAAGTGGTAAACGTCTGAGACCTGCATCACTTCGGGCTTTCCTCCCACATTACGCTGACTCCCCGTGATATAACTGTAATACTGTTAAAAGCGGCGTTAAACACAAAACACTCACTCACAATGTATGTATTAATTCTGTTGATTGTTTCCAGCCAACCCGCTTCTGATATTGTTGAACCCCTCGATTAATGGGTCACGTGTTTACTTGGGTGATGAGCTGAATATACAGTGTCAGGGCAGGAACCTTGGAAACGCCAGCAAGGTAAGAAAACCACCACCGATTGACGAGTAACCCGTCTTACTCCTATTGTTATAACCGCAAAAAATATGCTTGAGTTGCATTGTATCTTTCATTGTGAGACTGACTTGTATGCCAAGACATAGAAACAACCCAAATTGTTATACCGTAACTTTCGAACGAAGTGCTTATTCTAAGAAGTAATTATCCGTGGTCTTGTGGTAGAGCGTCCGCCCGGAGAGCGGAAGGTCCAGGGTTCGATCCCGGGCCGCGTCATACAAAAAGACGTTAAAAGATTGTACTTGTTGTTACCCTGTCTGGCGCTCGGCATTAAGGGGCTAAAACAAGGACTGGTCGGCTCGGAGTCAGTATACTGTGTCTGAGTGGGGTATTCATGTTAAACTGCGGCATGGTATCTCAGTGGGCTAGCACTATAAATCGGCATCAGTCCGGACTAGTACAAGCAGCCACACACACACACACATACACGTGCATGCACGTCGCTATATAAGTGCAATAATCTTGGACGCGACGTTAAACCCAATTTCACCTCACCTCACCTCCTGTTGTAATTATGTTAATCCACACATAATCCGCTTTTATATTTAAAGAGAGCACAGGTGGTCCAATATAAAACGTAAACGTTATATATAAAGAACATAGAGGATGACGTCATTTCCTGTTGTAATTATGTTAATTCACACATAATCCGTAAACGTTAGATCACCACCAGGCTCGATTATCCGAAAAGTGTAAGTCGTTAAATTCGCTGAGTGACTGTACTTGCCGTAAAAGGTGACTATGCTTGTCGTTAAAGGCGACTAACAGGATCGGGTGGTCAGGCACGCCTACTTGGTTGATGCATGTCATCGATTCCAATTGCGTGGATCGATGCTCATGATATTAATCACTGGATTGTCTGGTCCAGACTCGATTATTTACAGACCGCCGTCATATAGATGGAATATTGCTGAGTGCGGCGTTATACAACAAACCAACCAACCAACCAACCAACCAAAATTCGCTGCACCGCGTCGCGTCGCTTAAGCATGCCAGAGACCAATGATCATGGGTTCGAATCCTAGGCTCGCCCTGATTTTGAGTCTAGGTTTGTCAGACAACATCCATGGTAAACGTCTTGAATTTGTATGGTTCTGCAATTTTTCTCACATCAACAGGGAACGCAGTCTCGCATAAACTTCTGTGATTTAGACATTTGCAAGATCTAATGCTATTTGGCCATTTGGTCGGATCTTGTCCACAAGGAATAAGGTAATAATGTGTGATGTACCTAGTAACAATGTGTGTGTTGCCAGATCACGTGGTCCTTCAGCTCTAACGGCGCGGCATGGACGACGCTGACCGGCGGCAACATCATCACGTGGCCAGATACGTCAGGCGCCGTCAACTCCGAGTGGTCCGTGATCTTCAGCCACTACAGCAATCAGGGCATCTACCGGTGTTCCTGGAAAACACTGTCTCAGTCTGTGTTCGTTCGTGTTGTCGGTGAGTGAGTGTTGTTTTACGGCAGGTTCCATAAAGGCTTCTACCGGTGTTCCTGGAAAACACTGTCCCAGTCTGTGTTCGTCCGTTTTGAAGTGTCGCGATTGGCTGTGCAGAGTTGCGTCCCTTGGGCACGCCAGAAACCTATGATTGTGGGTTCGAATCCCTGTTCGCCCCGATTATGTTTCTAGGTTTGTCAGCACCATACCCGTGCTCGTGGGTTTCACCGAAGTGGTAAACGTCTTAGACCTGCATCACTCCGGGCTTTCCTCCCACATTCAGCTGACACGCCGTGATATAACTGGAATACTGTTAAAAGCGGCGTTAAACCCAACTCACTCACTCACTCCGTTTTGAAGTTGGACCGCCTCCGTGGTCTAGTGGTACAGCGTCCGTCTGGAGGTTCGGGGCTCGAACCCCGGCCCCGTCATACCAAAAGACGTTAAAAGATGGTACTTGTTGTTACCATGTCTGGAGCTCGGCTATGATAGGCTAAAATAAGGACTGGTCGGCTCGAAGTCAGTATACTGTGTCTGAGTGGGGTATTCATGTTATACTGCGGCATGGTATCTCAGTGAGCTAGCACTATAAATCGGCATCAGCCCGGACTAGTACAAGCAGCCACACACACACATACACGTACATGCACGTCGCTATATAAGTGCAAAAATCTTGGACGCGACGTTAAACCCCATTTCATCTTACCTATGACCTTAAACTATTGTCAGCAATATTCCAATTATTTCACTGCGAACGTGCACATCGTTGTTGATGGCACGGTTCAGTGGTATGATGGTATATTTGAGCTAAGCTAGCTATTGGATTAAGAATTATTGAATTTATTGATTATTGATCAGTTGTGAGGTTAATACTGTAAACAGGGAATTTTTTGCGACCGTTTTATTATTGCGAGTTTTGCGAACGAGACTCAATCGCAAAAATTACAAAAATATATATGTCACTCCGTTTCTGTTTTTGAGAAGTTAAGCTGTTTCAAACATTGAGTTCTCAGTGCTATTTCTTTTTCTTATGGCTACCAGTAACAAATCCCTAACTTTCTGTGTATGTGTTGTTTGTTCTCTAGGACCGCCGGTCGTGACGTTAAGCACGACGAGTGTGACCGCTCTCCTTGGAGACGCCGTGACCTTGACCTGTCGGGTCAACGCTAACCCAGTACCCAATGTACTAGGATGGTATTACAATAACATGGACATCCGCAACTCCACGTAAGCGAAGGCCTTTTTCTTTTGATGCAAATTAAATCATTATATTATCGCTTGAATAAACAGAATACGTTGACCGCTTCCGTGGTCTAGTGGTAGAGCGTCCGCCCGGAGAGCGGAAGGTCCGGGGTTCGATCCCCGGCCGCGTCATACCAAAAGACGTTAAAAGATGGTACTTGTTGTTACCCTGTCTGGCGCTCGGCATTAAGGGGCTAAAACAAGGACTGGTCGGCTCGGAGTCAGTATACTGTGTCTGAGTGGGGTATTCATGTTAAACTGCGGCATGGTATCTCAGTGATCTAGCACTATAAATCGGCATCAGTCCGGACTAGTACAAGCAGCCACACACACGTGCATGCACGTCGCTTTTTAAGTGCAATAATCTTGCTCGCGACGTTAAGCCCCATTTCACCTCAACTCACATCTTAGGATATGTTATAGGACTCAACTCTTGACACTTGACACATGGGAATCAGTTTTATGTATAATTGAAAGATACAAAAGTCACCAAAAGTGGACTAGTATACATATATAACTTAGATTTATAACATAACGAAACGTTATCAGCCCTTACTTTCGTTTTTTCCTATTGAAAGTACATGTTTGTTGTTTAACGTCGCACTCAGCAGTATTCCGACTGACGGTCTGTGAATAATCGATTCTGGACAAGACAATCCAGTGATTGACACCATGAGTATCGATCTACAAATTGAGATGACACGCATCAACCAAGTCAGCGAGCCTGACCACTCGATCCCGTTAGTCGCCTCTTATGACAAGCCAAGTCGCATGAGTTGCTGGAGACGAGCACCGTTAAAAGTACATGTGTAGGACGCGTGAGCCTGTACGAACCTATAACTGTGTCAAATAATCTATATAAACATTATTAGGCGTGTAATGCCACATTTTCTCAATGTTCATTTTTTGCAGCAAATACACGGTGTACCGTACTTATATCAGAGGCGACCTCTACAGCCAGACGACGTTGACGATCAACCCCGTGGAGGTGTCTGACTACGGCAGCAAGTACAGATGTGTAGCCGACAACGACGAGGGCAGCGACTCCGTGAACGTCACGCTGAGAGGTGAGTCAGACCGACCCCTGACACTTCCAAAGACAAGGTGTGCGTGTGTGTGTGTGTGTGTGCGTGTGCGTGTGCGTGTGTGTTACGATATGTCATAACGAACGTTTTATGCCAGCTTATAATGAGTGTGTGTGTCTGTGTGGTGTGTATATGTGTGGTGTGTATATGGGTGTGTGTCTGTGTGTGTAGTGTGTGTGTGTGTGTGTCTGTGTCTGTGTGTGTGTGTCTGTCTGTCAGTGTGTGTGTCTGTGTGTGAATGTGGTGTGCATGTGTGTGTGTGTCTCGAGTCGACTGTGTGTTATTATGCCATAACGAACGTTACATGCTTGCTTTTGTGTGTGTGTGTGTGTGTGTGTGTGTGTGTGTGTGTGTGTGTGTGTGTGTGTGTGTGTGTGTGTGTGTGTGTGTGTGTGTGTGTGTGTGTGTGTGTGTGTGTGCATGTGGTGTCTGTGTGGTGTCTTGCTTTCTGTTTGTGTCTTTTAAGTTATTAGATGATTAAAATTTAAATAAAAAAGCCCTCAGATTCCATGTTTTTTTAGTAATCAGAGATTTAAAATTAAGATAACAAAAGACCTCATATTCAACAAATGGGTGCAGTTGGTTGAGAAGGAAACCTGCAGCCAGATGTGATACCTTAGGTATCATATCCAAACCAACCAACAAGTTACTATTTTACGTCCGCTTCGGTCAATTATCCACTACAGCATGTGGTCGAGCTTCAGGTGGGCGTGTCTGTGTTCCAGATGTCAACGAGTGCGTGACGGGCGAGGCCACGTGTCAGTGGGACCAGAACGAGAACTGTGTCGACACCCTAGGGTCCTATGAGTGCCACTGTGCCACTGGCTTTGACAGGAGGGGTGGGGTTTGCACGGGTAAGTTCAGTACAAACGTTCACCAACAACAATAAGATCCCTTGTTCCTCTGAATGGGGGAAATTGTGTTGCTCTTTTGACCAAACACACACAACTTCAACCTCATTCAAAGTAGATATTTTACCCCGATTGTATCGGAATAAAAGGTCTGATTTTTATTAGGTTGCTTTAGGTTTCCGGAGTGTGTCCTTCCAGACAGGTATATGTTTATGTAAAGTAATATCCCCGATCTTTGGCAAATGATATTTATTCCAATACCCTGGGTCACAAGAGGTTCATGGGTTCGCTATTGCATTCTCAATCTTTTTGTCAAAGAATTAATCTTAATTTTAAAAAATTAAATATATTTTTCCAGGTTATTTATATAAATTGATGTGTTTATATACCCGAAGAGCAAGGAATTGGTTTATTGTTAATGTCTTTCATAAACGTGAGCCTCGTTAAATCGAACTCCATTAAATCGACATAAACGTTCCCGACAAAATCCGGACGGAACTCCGCCGAACGATCTATGACTTCGAGTTAACGAGGATTTATGACATATGTGTTATATAATTTTACTGTATGTGTTATATAACTTTACTGTATGTGTTATTTATAATGCCCTATAACGTAACTGTTTCATTCAAGCACAATGTTGCACAATAACGGTGTTGGTGGAAGCGGGGCGGTGTTTCACAAATCGGGCAGTGACTACCGGTATTATAAGGCTTCACGGCAATGACCTCGGGTAATTTGGCAGCCCTATCAAAATGGATTCAACACTCCTTTGTCTGTCAACATTTATTTATTACCTTTATTACTGTGTGTGTCAACATCACACATGATGCTGATAACACGGTCTCGATCTAAGCAGAAACTGGGCTCCAAGATTGTGTATCATGGCCCCTTTTGTATAAGCGAGTTGAGGTGAAATGGGGTATAACGTCGCGTCCAAGATTATGCACTTATATAGCGACGTCCTTTTGACTAGACTGTCCACAGTTGCTACAGCTGTTTTATAAAGCGGGTCGTGTCTCTGTTATTGATTAATTATATCCAAAATAATACTAAATTCCATTTTAACATGCATTTGTTCAATATCTTTTTCCGGAATGGGTTAGCCTAGTGGTTAAAGCGTTCGCTCGTCACGCCGAAAACCCAGGTTCGATTCCCACATGGGTACAATGTGTGAAGCCCATTTCTGGTGTCCCCCGCCGTGGTTTTGCTGGAATATTGCTAAAAGCGGAGTAAAACTATATTCATTCACTCACTCATATTTGCCTCCTTCTTAATGATGTAATTTGTGTAAGATATGCCATGTCACGTTCTTCTCACCATACTGTCACGTATACCAGCACTTGTCACGCTTCATGTTGTACTATGTAACATCCTAACATTAGACTAGTCCACCCGTGGACAGCCGGGGTAGAATAGGTCTTCACCAACCCATGCATGTCCTAAAAGGCAACTGTACTTGTCGTAAGAGGCGACTAACGGGATCGGGTGGTCAGGCTCGCTGTCTTGGTTAATGATGCATGTCATCGTATCCCGATTGCCAGGATCGATGCTCATGATATTAATTAGTGGATTGTCCGCCGTCATAAACCTGGAGGGGCGGTCGGGTAGCCTAGTGGTTAAAGCGTTCGCTCGTCACGCCGAAGACCCGGGTTCGATTCCCGACATGGGTACAATATGTGAAGCCCATTTCTGGTGTCCCCCGCCGTGATATTGCTGGAATATTGCTAAAAGCGGCGTAAAACCATACTCACTCACTCACTCATATACCTGGAATATTGGAGTGCGACGAAGTACACTGGTGACCAGATCACTTGAAACAAGAGGCACGGGTGGTCAAGTCGCTTATGGCGCCGCAATTCGCTGTGCAGAGTTGCGTCCCTTGGACACGCCAGAAACGTCAGATCGTTGTTTCGCCCCGATTATGTTTCTAGGTTTGTTAGCACCATACCCCTGCTCGTGGGTTTCACCGAACGGGAAACGTCTGAGACCTGACATTTCGGGCTTTCCTCCCACATCAAGCTGACACGCGGTGATATAACCGGAAAAAATGTTAACAGCCCTGTTAAACCCAACTCACTCAGTCATTATTTAGAGCACTTTAACATAGCGTAGCAACACTGTAATGTACTACCAGTAGCTCTATGCAAATAGTTGCATGGCATGTAAACACAGCAGGGAATGTGAGATGCATAGCATTATATATACAACAACAGATCGTTAATAAGACTATACTGTTCACTGCCAAATCCTCCAGACTAAGAGAAACTCTGGATGAATTAAATCTGGTGTACAGACACCGCTTTACACATCAACACTGTCGCCTTAATACGCCGGATATCGGGAATCCATAAATAGATAGTTTAAGCCATATTAAATATTAGGCATACAAAATCTTTATAACGTTCTCACTCAAATCGTCTGGATTAACACATATCCACATTTACGATCATTGTTAACGCAATATACAATTGTAGTCATGTACCGATTCTAACCGATAAAATATAGCAGGGTCCAGACTACAGAGGTTTCACTGTAAAAATATTTCACACAAATATTTTAACTTGAACACATGAACGGTATATGTGAGATAGCTGTTACACCACTTCGGATTTTCCTCCCACGTCAAACAGACACGCTACAACAGATGACAAATCACTCACCCTCACTCATGCTGTCACACACACATTTGCTACAGACGATGTACATGCATGCTGATGTACTGACACAACATCATACATCCAACCCTTATAGCACGAGGAGTACCCTCATAACACATAGCTCAATCGTAACACAAACAATATTTCCATGTTCAATCAATCTGGTACCTCAGGATGAACTCGTATCCTACGCCAACACAGACAGGGGGTAAGGGAGTTATTAAAGTCAGTTAACTCTCTTGCCTCGGGGAGATGCAGAGTGGGTGATTGGGGGGCGTGAAAAACAAATGTGGTATGTTGTAGGCGGTAAAAGTGACTGAGAGAGAAATTTGAATTTATTGGAACCCTCCATTTTTAAAATGATGGATCCGCCCTTGATTCGCAAATCAGCTCGAAGAATAAGTGAATCACTGCTCTATTAGGTTGCATCTTAATGCAAAATCTTATTGCAAAGTCATGGTAGTCTAACAATCCAACGTCTGGAAACATGCGAGTAAGAATTCTGCCCCCCCCCCCCCCAAAAAAAATGCAGAACGCTACAAGCACATGGGATTTGGCCTCCGGTCAATTGACAGTCCCTGTCGGTCAAAAACAACTTGGTTTGTAAGCGATGTTACGCTTATGTTATGTTACTTGTACCAGTCTACCGGTAATTGATTATCCTAATTACACAAAGACAATGTGTAAGTAGTGCTGTGGAAGTAGGCGGTGAGGGCCAGGGAAGGGTCATCCAGTGACACCAGGGTACCAATTTACTCTAGCGACCGCTGCCACCCCAGTAGATGTGAACGAATGCGAGATTGACCCCCAGGTGTGCGATCAGGCATGCGTCAACTTTTTGGGCTCCTTCCGGTGTGAATGCATGGCGGATTATCTACTGCAGGCAGACAAGGTCACGTGTCTTCCGGTTTCAAGTTTTATGGGTAAGAAACCGAAACGTTGCGGTTATGAATCACCTCCACCGCGACACACATACACTAACTAATGAAGACATGTGTATGACAGTACAGTAAACTACGGTTATAACGAACTCAAATGGACCACTAATTTAAGTTCGTTATAACCGTAGTTCGTTATAAGCATACATACAACATCTATACAGCAAATGGCGGAGACCGAAAATTAAGTTCGTAATATCCGTCAGTTCGTTATAAGCGTGTTCGGTACAAACGTATTTTTCTGTATTTGTTACATGTAACACTGTTGGTATGTGCACGCAACATACACTACGTAAACGTAAGCACTCTCAAGTTAGTTATTTTAATGTCATAATATATACTCTTAAACATAAGTAGGGGATCATGAAATATTATTGTCATGATTGGTCGTCAAAAAGATATCAGCTTTGAAAAATGATTGGCAGTGTCAGAACGGTTTCGGATCCACATCTTAATGCCTCAACACACTGGTATATATATCCTTGAATTATTATGAGTTCCAGACAAGACATAAGTACAATATTTTAATGTCATCCACCAACCCATTTACTGTTAAGAAACTAGCCATGTATATTCTAAAAGCTATGAATCTAAGGCAACGTCTGTTGGGATCTACAGCTCCCATCACCACACTGTAACCATTGTATCATGGGCCTATGGCCTACAATACATCTGAATAAAGTGTATATATTCTCCCAAAACACACTGATAAAGTTTTGCACGTGGACCATGCGAATCCTCCGTGCGCCTTGGTGAGGGTCATTCTTGATTTTGATACTTCAGTGAAAGGTCGTCAAACCGCTTGAGCCGTTATCATTGTAGACTTTTTTAACCACAGTAACAGTCAAGGTCTTAACTCTTGTTTTAATACAGCCTAAGGGCAAGCGGCATGCTTCAAACTGGTAGAACTCAGAGAGGTAGCCAATATGTTCAATGTGTCTCGGTCTGCGATATGCAGACTTTGGAACAGGTTTCTGCAGACGCCCCGCACGGGGACCCCAGGTCAACAAGACCAGATCAGGCTGGTTTAATCAGATACCAGGCTTGTAGACATCAAACCCAAACTACCAATCAAAAAGCTGTGCACTTGCGCCAGACCACCGGAGTTCAAGTTTCGGACCCGACTATAAGAATTCAGCTAATCTGCATTCCGGGACCCCCTGCTACGCGAAACGAACTGAGGAAGACGCTGCAGGAGGAGTGGGACAGACTCCCTCACATTGTCATTGGGAGGTGGACTCGGACCATACCATATGAACGAATGTTTGATCAATGGTGGGCGCATGACCCTTATTGATAAAGTCATCTCAAACCTTGATTTTCTTACAACACCCCCTGTCGTCTTTCTAGGTTGCTTGCACCCTTACAAAACACCGCTAACGTATTCTGTTGATTGTCATGATTTACAAGTCTTTCTATTTCATTATTAATCCATTACCACGACTCAATACCTCCATCTGATCCCCTACTTTATTTGTAGAGTATGTATGATATTGTCGTTCAGTTGAAATTGCAAATGCCCACGTCTCAGCCTTGAAAAACGTGTGTTCATCTGACATACACTTTTTCTGGAAAAATATTATTGCACAGGTATTTTTATACTTTTTGTTAAACCTGAGGAAAAGACCCAAGACCTATTATCATTACCACAGTGGATCTTATAGACAGTATAAACCTCGTTATGGACTCTGCATTATATTATCATAGTCCACGTACGCCCTTGTTTAATAAATACACCCTGTACTGCTTTTAGAGCTACATGGTGGCAAGATAATAGCGTCCAGCTGTCTGCGCAAACCGGTTCCCTGTGTGGGTTGCGTATACACCATGGCGTAGCGTAATCGCATCCTACACAGGAAACCAGGCTGGCTGTCCGCGAAGCACTATAGTCATCTGAAATATGTACACCATGTACTTATTGTATGAATATTTAGTTTCTCTGGTAGCACTAAATGTTACATTCTGGCAAGTGAGTGAGTGAGTGAGTTGGGTTTAACACCTTTTGTTTCATTTATAAATCAGCATGTCAACATGGGTGGGCAGATTTAGGTTCATATGGGTGGAGTGAGTGAGTGAGCTTTTAGCCATATTCTAGCAATATCATGGCGGGGGACACCAGAAATGGGCTTCAGGCATTGTACCCATGTGGGGAATCAAACATGGGTCTTCGACGAGCCGAGCGAACACTTTAACCAATAGGCTACTCATCCGCGTAATGTATGTTTGGTCTTCCAGAAACCAACGAGTACAATGAGGGTTCCTATAAAGCAATAGTCATTGTCCAGACCCGGGATTCGAACCCTCTGGACAGGGCCTTGTCTTTTGTTGTTGTAGAGCAAGTGGTTACATTTTCTGTCCATCTTCAGTTAGAGTTATCTCCCTTGTTGCAGATTCCGCAACCAGACCTCCAGCCTCCTCAAACACCGGAGTCGACAACAATGTTGCTATAGGACTTGGAGTAGGCATCACCGTTATCGCCATTGCTATCATCGTTGTCATCGTCGTCATCGTGTGTAGACGTCGGGGCAACAGAGAGAGGGTAGGACCATACTGTGTAGTATTTGGATTGAATTCTGCATTTTGCAGAATTGTTGTAAGATTGTTACCGTGTTTGAAGTGGCAACACCAATACGGATCCGATTTATTGAGGTAGTCGCGGTATATGTCCTTGACGCCGAAATTATGACGATATAGTACAATATAAGATTAAAACGTTATTGGTTCGGAGTGAGTGAGTTTGATTTTACGCTGCTTTTAGCAATATTCCAGAAATACGGCGGGGAACACCAAAAATGGGCTTCCATCATTGTTGCCATATCGGGATTCGAACCCGGGTCTTCGGCGTGACGAGCGAACGCTTAAACCACAAAGCTACCCGACCACCCCTTATTGGTTTAGAGGATTTGCAACGTATCGACTTATTCACTATCGAGTGAGTGAGTTGGGTTTTACGTCGGTATGACCAATTTGCTATATCGTGACGTGTCATCTTTACTTTGGAAACTTTTACGACTTTTTTAATCCATGACTCAATGTATGGAGCTAACAAACCATGGATCTTAGGTCGAATCTGGGATTCGAACGACCAGCGTATCCTGGCATCCTCAAAGGGACACAACTCTTCTGTTATTGTAAAGATGCCGAGTCACAGACACGACCAAGCTACATAATAATATATCGATTTATTATTTTTAATATTTTTTTTATAATGACATTAAAGAAAATACATAATGTTTTCATCAAGGAACTGATCGATGTCCCCAAACCGAAACCACCACCCACATCCGGGTTCTACAACTCTGCATACAGCGTCAACGACGATGAGGTGAGTGCGACGTGGCGCAATATCATTGTAGCGACATCCATAGATATCGCTTGGTCACACGCCAGCAATACCCGTGGTTCAAGCCAGTTTAGGATAGGATAGCTTCAATATAGACACAATTTTATGGATAACAACTTCTTTAATACTGTGAAAAGCCACGTTTCGGTATAGATCCTTATACCGTTGTCAAACGGTCTTACAGTGGTGCTGTATGGCCTTAATCTTGCGATGATGGCGGATTGGTTCCGTGATGAGGCGTTGGGAGGCGGTGCGAAGGATGGCTCTGACAACGGTATAAGGATCTATACCGAAACGTCGCTTTTCACAGTATTAACGAAGTTGTTATCCATAAAATTGTGTCTTACTTGTCATCCCTCAACTTCTAAGTAATGCCCATCAAACCATTTAGGATAGCTTCAATTAAGTATTGATTGTGTATTGCTTTCGGTTCAGAGAGGTATGAATTGAAAAACCGATGTGCAACCTTTTGTAAGCATCCGTACGCTTATAATTGAATTCTACAACGAAAACATGTTATATCTGCTTTAGTTTAACCATTTATATACCAAAGCAGACAAAAATGACGAGATACATAGGAATACACACTGTGGCGTGACATGAATCAGGTGATTGTTTAATTTATGCACATAACTTGACGCGCCTACAAAATCAGTAGCCAATCAACGGAGAGTAGGATGAAAACAATGTTCATAGGCCCTGTCAATCAAGGCAAAATGGGGAGGAACTGCAACAACCAGACTGTAAGGAACCAGAACAAATATGTCCGGGAGAAGGCGGTTGTTTCAAAAGACATGGTCAGTTACTCGAACGTTAGTTCCCTGAAAAAGGGAAGACACAGTTGGAAAAATGCTAGGAACCCGAAGACATGAAAGTTGTGGAACCTTGGCGAGCGGGGAAAAGAAAAAAAACAGGCGAGCGAGCCTGCACGTTTGTACGTGTAATTACAGGTTTGAAAAGGTGTAATTACGACTTATAAAAAGTTGTAGTTACATGTTTTTAAGGTGTAATTTAAAGTTTAAAAGATGAAAATACAAGTTTTTAAAGGTGTAATAACTAGATTTAAAGGCGTAATTACAAGTTTAGAAATGGAAATAACAAGTTTTGAAAGGTGTAATTTCAGGTTTGAAAAGGTGTAATTACGACTTATAAAAAGTTGTAGTTACACGTTTTTAAGGTGTAATTTAAAGTTTAAAAGATGAAAATACAAGTTTTTGAGGTGTAATAACTAGATTTATAGGCTTAATTGCAAGTTTAGAAATGGAAATAACAAGTTTTGAAAGGTGTAATTACAGGTTTGAAAAGGTGTAATTATGAGTTAGAAATGTGAAATTTCACTGAATGATCGAAACATTTGAAGTTCTGTATTGCCTAAAGGACAGACGTAGAAGTATGGACGAGGACAATCAATGTTGGATGTTTTTAGATCAACTGGGCATTGAAAAGTGTAACTGACAAAATGAAACCAGAAAGCACAATATTTCTGTTGGTGCAAGCCCCAAATCAAAGTACAACTTCACTTTTCTATTTATGTTTCTTGATGCCATTTGGGGCAGACGTCCTCCCTCCAAGATATGTTCATTTGCCCCTTATATTATTCTGAATTTATAAGCAGTTCAATAGTTAAACTTGTAATTACAACTTTTTTAAACTTGTAATTACACCTTTAAAGTTGTAATTACACCTTTAGAAACTTGTAATAACACCTTTATAACTTGTAAATACACCTTTACAACTTGTAATTAGACCTTTACAACTTGTAATTACACCTTTACAACTTGTAATTACAACTTTTAAATAAAAAAATGTTATCAATGAATTTGGCCCTAATAGGCTTTCGTACGTTTGGTCCATTCCTTCTCGGCCTTCGGCCTCAATGGGTTGTTTGGACAATAAATGTATGCATGAATTTCGCTAAATGTCATGTGTATAACGATACTCGTGAGCAGAGAGGGAATTCCCTCGACTGTAATATTGGGATTCCCCGAGTTTCCGTAGTAATGAAAGTAGTCCGCTTCGGTGGGCGTGGCTTCATTTTTTTACATTCATTGGGAAATGGATGCAATAACACATGGCCAATTCAGCTAATCAGAATGCAGCAATTTCCACGAATTCAACGAAACTTTAATTATTACGTTAGTAATGTGTTGACACGTGTCTGTAAACAAACAACGACAGAACATCGACACCCATCTTCCCGAGGCAAGGGCGTTAACTGCACTGGACTTAACAGTCAGTTACCTACCCTGCCTCGCAAAGATGATCAACACTAGGGGACTGTTGCACCTTACGATTCGCCTTACAACGGGGCGCTAACATTCAGTCCCTTGCAATGGCATCAATCCCTGGCGGAGGTCGCTTCGTCTGCTCCACATCTTCAAAGTCGTCATAAATTAATCTGGTCGTCATCGGTCTTCATAAGGGCAAGACCCGTGAAGATTCCGGGGTAGAATAGGTCTTCAGCAACCCATGCTTGTCGTAAAAAGCGACTAACGGGGTCGGGTGGTCAGGCTCGCTGACTTGGTTGATGCATGTCATCGATCCCAATTGCGTGGATCGATGCTCATGATATCAATCACTGGATTGTCTGGTCCAGACTCGTTTATTTACAGACCGCCGTCATATAGCTGGAATATTGCTGAGTGCGGCGTTAAACAAAAAAAACAATAAAATCATAAGGACAAAGCAACCAAGCGGTAGTTGCGCCGCCATTTTGGAAGAGTGCGCATGCGCTTCGAGCAGTTGCAGACCCCGGGATGACTGATAGATAGTTAATAACTACAGCTCCCTTCCCGACAGGCCCACATCTACACGGAGTTGTCCCCCACAGGCGACGAGTTCCCCCGGAGCAGGCTGAGGTTCCTCAACTCCTTGGGGGAAGGGAAGTTCGGACGCGTGGTGATGGCTGAAGCCCTCAGCATCAACAGCACTGGCAAGTGGGAGGAGGTTGCAGTCAAGATGGTCAAAGGTGAGATAACAGGTTAATAATAAACTAGTCATAAGGTTTACTGGATAGGTGAATTTGAACGTTATGTCTGTTCTGAGAAGATCAGGGGTTGAATAGGTCTTCAGCAACCCAGGCTTGCCGTAAAATGGGAAAAGTGTAAAGTGGTCAAACGAAAGCAGATCCTGTCTGGCACACAGAGCGTCTTCCCGGAGAGGGGAACGTCGATGTGGTGGATTATGCCGATGTGACGTTTAATTTTAACTCGCTCACGTTAAGAAATGGTACATATTGTTGCCCGGCCTGGCGCTGGGGATTGAGGTGGAAAACAAGGATTGGTCGGCATGGAGTTAGTATACTGATTCTGAGTGGGATATTCATGTTAAACTGCGTCTAGTTAAGTGCAATAATTTTGAACGCGGCGTTAAACTTCTTGCCACCTCGCCTCACAGCTATTCTAAATATTTATTGAGGATCCGTGTACCGCTGAGGACATCCCATCACAGGTTACGTCAGAAAGACCTTTCGCGAACTTTGACCGACCGACTAACATGAAGTCGACATTAACCACTTGGAAAACTCTGTGGCTCAAGTTTCAAATTGGCGACTTCCATTCCAGACTCTGCTTTATAAAGTACAGTAAACTACGCTTATAACGAACACGCTTATAACGAACTGACGGATATAACGAACTTATTTTTTAGTCCCGGCCATTTGATGTATATATGCTTATAACGAACTACGGTTAGTACGAACTAAAATTAGTGGTCCCTTTGACTTCGTTATAACCGTAGTTTACTGTATTTTGAATCAGTCATACAGCCCGTAACAGTTGTGTTGAGCTTTAGAGGTTGCTTGATTAGAAAACATTCCGCTAACAATGTAACATAACATTATGAATATTTCAGTTTTCATTGTTCATTTTTTTTATTACGTTTTGGTATTGTTAGTAATCGTGTAGTTGTCCGATTTTCGATCGCGAACATTGGTACTACTTAATTTCGTTTATCCGACATACTCGTTAATCCGACATAATCATATGCTTTTGTTTGTTTGTTTGTTGTTTAACGCCGTACTATTCCAGCGATATGACGGCGGTCTGTAAATAATCCAATCCAGTGACTGACATCATGAGCATCGATCCACGCAATTGGGATACGATGACATGCATCAACCACGTCAGCGAGCCTGACCATCCGATCCCGTAATGTCGAATGTCGAAAAAACGGGACTTGACTTGACTGTTGTTACAGAAACCGCCACTGATGCTATGAAGGAAGACTTCTACCACGAGCTGGTCATCGTCCGGAAGCTGCCCACTCACGTCAACGTCGTGGCCTACCTGGGCTGTGTCACCGCTTCAGGTAAGTTCCTTCAACAGATGCACCTGACCAGCTTGGCGTATGGTAGACCACTTAGACAAAGTCCCAGTAGATAGATATCTCTATACTTCCTAGTGCCCAGTATCAACAATGTTAACAGACTAGTATACAATTACACTGTGCCATGCTCTGATAGTGTCATCTACCCTGCAATAACACAAAAGAACGTCATCGTATAGACATGCTTTCTGATATTCCTCTGTCCGCATCAAACGACCTTAACCCCCCACCTTCAATGACCTGTCTTTAGGCCCAAGAAGAATGTTAACCCCACAACTCCTACCACCGACCACCAACGATAGCCATTTAACCCCGAATGACCCACCTATAGACTTAACCCCGACCTCTTATTGTCCACCTATAGACTTAACCCAGACCTCTAATGACCCACCTATAGACTTGACCCCGACCTCTAATGACCCACCTATAGTCTTGACCCCGACCTCCAATGACCCACCTATAGACTTGACCCCGACCTCTAATGACCCACCTATAGACTTAACCACGACTTCAAATGACCTACCTATAGACTTGACCCCGACCTCTAATGACCCACGTATAGACTTAACTCCGACCTCTAATGACCCACCTATAGACTTAACCCAGACCTCTAATGACCCACCTATAGACTTGACCCCGACCTCTAATGACCCACCTATAGACTTGACCCCGACCTCTAATGATCTACCTATAGACTTGACCCCGACCTCCAATGACCCACCTAGAGACTTAACCCCGACCTCTAATGACCCACCTATAGACGTCACCCAGACCTCTAATGACCCACCTATAGACTTGTCCCCGACCTCTAATGACCCACCTATAGACTTGACCCCGACCTCTAATGACCTACCTATAGACTTGACCCCGACCTCCAATGACCCACCTAGAGACTTAACCCCGACCTCTAATGACCCATCTATAGACTTAACCCCCGGCTTGAAATTACCCGTCTAGAGATTAAGTTCCCGACCACTAATGGTCCGTCTAACGCGTTGACCGCATATAAGCCATGTACAGTGTCACCCACTATCCTCCAATTGACTGTCTACAAAGTTAACCTCCGACCTGCAGTGACCCGCCTCTACCATGACCTCTACCTTGCAGACCCAGCTCTCATGATCATGGAGTACGTCAATGGCGGTGACCTTCTGACCTACTTAAGAAAACGTCGACCAGCTAAAGCTAGCGAGCAAACGTCAAGCGTGGAGGCCTTGACCCCTAAAGATATGCTGTCCTTTGCCCTTCAGATAGCTCGGGGAATGGCACACATAGCTGCACAGAAGGTAAATGTCATTCATCACTGTGAACCTGTAGACAAGCACGTTCAAATAAATGTCACATGAGTTACGTCCCTTGCCTCGCCGATAAAGGCAACAAATCGTTGTTGCCTCGTTAACGGTTTACCGAGGGTGTGCCTGTGTGTCTTTTCGTATGTCCATACTACACAACGATTGAGAGGGATAATCAGATTTTTTGTTAGTTTGTTTGTTGTTTAACGCCGCACTCAGCAATAGTCCAGCAATATGACGGCGGTCTGTAATTAATCGAGTCTGGACCAGACAATCTAGTGATTAACATCATGAACTCGGACAACGCTGTTTGGATAGCTTGAGATGCATTAACCATGTCATCGAGCCTGACCACCCGATCCCGTTAGTCGCCTCTTACGACTAGCATGTTCGCCTTTTACGACAAGCATGGGTTGCTGAAGACCTATTCTACCCTGGATCTTCAAAGGTCCGGATAGACAGATATGTCATTCTTTCATATACACGTGACATATGTGAATAATGTACACGTGACATATGTGAATCATACACACGTGACATATGTGAATCATACACACGTGACATATGTGAATCATACACACGTGACATATGTGAATCATTTACACGTGACATGTGAATCATACACACGTGACATATGTGAATCATATACGTGTGACATATGTGAATCAGTTTTGAGTAGCATGGAAAGATAAACAATATCCTATCAAAAGTGGGGTAGTATATATAATCTGATAAGAACTGGTATCAAGTTGGTTCGTCGGAAGCCAAGAGCTCCATGCTTTCATTCTGTTACTGAATTCTTGTCAATATTAAAGTGAGTCATTGTCACCTGCTTATGTTAGATACTCCTTAAATAATGCACTGATATGCATTATTTTATTCAAAACCCATTGTTTCAGGGCTAAAATAAAGTGGAAAGATGTGTCGCATCATTACTATATTGTTGACATGAGATGTGTCGTATCATTACTATATTGTTGACATGAGATGTGTCGTATCATTACTATATTGTTGACATGAGATGTGTCGTATCATTACTATATAGTTGACATGAGATGTGTCGTATCATTACTATATACGTTGACATGAGATGTGTCGTATCATTCCTATATTGTTGACATGAGATGTGTCGTATCATTTCTATATTGTTGACATGAGATGTGTCGTATCATTACTATATACGTTGACATGAGATGTGTCGTATCATTACTATATTGTTGACATGAGATGTGTCGTATCATTACTATATTGTTGACATGAGATGTGTCGTATCATTACTATATAGTTGACATGAGATGTGTCGTATCATTACTATATACGTTGACATGAGATGTGTCGTATCATTCCTATATTGTTGACATGAGATGTGTCGTATCATTTCTATATTGTTGACATGAGATGTGTCGTATCATTACTATATACGTTGACATGAGATGTGTCGTATCATTACTATATTGTTGACATGAGATGTGTCGTATCATTTCTATATTGTTGACATGAGATGTGTCGTATCATTCCTATATTGTTGACATGAGATGTGTCGTATCATTTCTATATTGTTGACATGAGATGTGTCGTATCATTTCTATATTGTTGACATGAGATGTGTCGTATCATTACTATATAGTTGACATGAGATATGTCGTATCATTCCTATATTGTTGACATGAGATGTGTCGCATCATTACTATATTGTTGAAATGAGATGTGTCGTATCATTACCATATAGTTGACATGAGATGTGTCGTATCATTTCTATATTGTTGACATGAGATGTGTCGTATCATTACTATATTGTTGACATGAGATGTGTCGTATCATTACTATCTTGTTGACATGAGATGTGTCGTATCATTTCTATATTGTTGACATGAGATGTGTCGTATCATTCCTATATTGTTGACATGAGATGTGTCGTATCATTTCTATATTGTTGACATGAGATGTGTCGTATCATTTCTATATTGTTGACATGAGATGTGTCGTATCATTCCTATATTGTTGACATGAGATATGTCGTATCATTCCTATATTGTTGACATGAGATGTGTCATATCATTACTATATTGTTGACATGAGATGTGTCGTATCATTACTATATTGTTGACATGAGATGTGTCGTATCATTACTATATTGTTGACATGAGATGTGTCGTATCATTACTATATTGTTGACATGAGATGTGTCGTATCATTACTATATTGTTGACATGAGATGTGTCGTATCATTTCTATATTGTTGACATGAGATGTGTCGTATCATTCCTATATTGTTGACATGAGATATGTCGTATCATTTCTATATTGTTGACATGAGATGTGTCGTATCATTACTATATTGTTGACATGAGATGTGTCGCATCATTACTATATTGTTGACATGAGATATGTCGTATCATTACTATATTGTTGACATGAGATGTGTCGTATCATTACTATATTGTTGACATGAGATGTGTCGTATCATTACTATATTGTTGACATGAGATGTGTCATATCATTTCTATATTGTTGACATGAGATGTGTCGTATCATTACTATATAGTTGACATGAGATGTGTCGTATCATTACTATATTGTTGACATGAGATGTGTCGTATCATTACTATATTGTTGACATGAGATGTGTCGTATCATTACTATATTGTTGACATGAGATGTGTCGTATCATTACTATATTGTTGACATGAGATGTGTCGTATCATTACTATATACGTTGACATGAGATGTTGTCGTATCATTACTATATTGTTGACATAAGATGTGCATTGTCAATACTGTTTTGTTGGTTATTTTCCGCACAGATTATACACCGAGATGTGCATTGTCAATACTGTTTTGTTGGTTATTTTCCGCACAGATTATACACCGAGATGTGTATTGTCAATACTGTTTTGTTGGGTATTTTCCGCACAGATTATACACCGAGATGTGTATTGTCAAGACTGTTTTGTTGTATTTTCCGCACAGATTATACACCGAGATGTGCATTGTCAATACTGTTTTGTTGGTTATTTTCCGCACAGATTATACACCGAGATGTGCATTGTCAATACTGTTTTGTTGGTTATTTTCCGCACAGATTATACACCGAGATGTGTATTGTCAATACTGTTTTGTTGGGTATTTTCCGCACAGATTATACACCGAGATGTGTATTGTCAAGACTGTTTTGTTGTATTTTCCGCACAGATTATACACCGAGATGTGCATTGTCAATACTGTTTTGTTGTATTTTCCGCACAGATTATACACCGAGATGTGTATTGTCAATACTGTTTTGTTGGGTATTTTCCGCACAGATTATACACCGAGATGTGTATTGTCAAGACTGTTTTGTTTTATTTTCCGCACAGATTTTACACCGAGATGTGTATTGTCAATACTGTTTTTTTGGTTATTTTCCGCACAGATTATACACCGAGATGTGTATTGTCATGACTGTTTTGTTGGGTATTTTCCGCACAGATTTTACACCGAGATGTGTATTGTCAATACTGTTTTGTTGGTTATTTTCCGCACAGATTATACACCGAGATGTGTATTGTCATGACTGTTTTGTTGGGTATTTTCCGCACAGATTTTACACCGAGATGTGTATTGTCAATACTGTTTTGTTGGGTATTTTCCGCACAGATTATACACCGAGATGTGTATTGTCATGACTGTTTTGTTGTATTTTCCGCACAGATTATACACCGAGATGTTGCGGCGAGGAACGTGCTGATAGACCGGAAGCGCGTGTGTAAAGTCTCGGACTTCGGTCTCGCGAGAGACGTTGAGGGAGCTGATATATACGAGAGAACAAATAAGGTTGGTTGGTACTCTATCTCAGCAAGAAGGAAACGGTTTTGGAAGACATGATGCAAAGTTCGAAACTACAATTTTCGTGATCGAGTTCTTTTAAAATGTTCAGATTTCGATGAAATAAATACATAAACTGTTTCTGTTCTCAATTTCGTGTAAAATTCAGTAAACTACGGTTAAAACGAACTCAAAGGGACTGCTAATTTTAGTTCGTTATAACCGTAGTTCGTTATAAGCATATATACAGCAATGGCCGGGACCATTTATAAATTCGCTATATCCGTCAGTTCGTTATAAGCGTGTTCGTTATAACCGTAGTTTACTGTAATTAACATTCACATTCCAATAAATTCGAAAGGTAAACAAAAAAAACCTACCTTCTTTTGTCTGCAGTTTCTGTGTTCCGATGATGGAGATATATATGTCTCGTTCTTTTCATTCCCCATGTATATCTACAAGAGAAGGGGAATTTGTGGAGACTTTGCCCTTGACTCGGTCGAAGTTGCCATCTATAATTCTTTCAAATTTCATTTTGATTGGATAGCACCTATCTTGCTGACAGTGGCGTCAAGGTGACACGAGAACTCACTCACTCACTCATGCTCTGACCCCTATGTGTTTACCCGTAGGGCCCGCTCCCGATCCGATGGATGGCCCCTGAAAGCCTGCGAGATTCTGTCCACACATCCAAGTCTGATGTATGGTCGTTCGGCGTCCTGTTGTGGGAGATTGTCACACTAGGTAGGTACATTATCATTATCATCATTATCTTTATCATTATCATCATTATCATTATCATTATCATCATCATCATCATCATTATCATTGTTATCGTCGTCATCATCATCGTCGTCGTCGTCGTCATCATCATCATTATCATTATTATCATTATCATCAATATCATTATCATTATCATCATAATCATTATTATCATTATCATTATCATTATCATCATTATCATTATCATTATCATTATCATCATTATCATTATCATTATCATCATTATCATTATCATTATCATCATCATCATCATCATTATCATTGTTATCGTCGTCATCATCATCGTCGTCGTCGTCGTCGTCATCATCATCATTATCATTATTATCATTATCATCAATATCATTATCATTATCATCATAATCATTATTATCATTATCATTATCATTATCATCATTATCATTATCATTATCATTATCATCATTATCATTATCATTATCATCATTATCAATATCATTATCATTATCATCATAATCATTATTATCATTATCATTATCATTATCATCATTATCATTATCATTATCATTATCATCATTATCATTATCATTATCATCATTATCATTATCATTATCATTATTATCATTATCATCATTATCATTGTCATTATCATCATTATCATTATCATTGTTATCGTCGTCGTCATCATCATCATCATTAGCATCAGTATCACATATAGGCAATGCATCTATCGTATAGCATGGATCGGGTGGTCAGACCAGGTGACTTGGTGTTGATGGCGTCAATCACTGGATTGTCTGGTCCAAACTGTTATTTACAAGGCACCGCCACATAACTGGAATATAGCAGAGTGCGGTGTTTATCAACAAGCAAACAAACAAACAAACTTTAGCATCTAAACTATGTGGCAAGAATTGACGCGATTATTTTTCGAATCAATGTTAAACAATATGCAATATCGTTTTAATTATTTTCGCATCAGTTCTCATTAGGTTTTGCCTAGGGTAGTATTCACACATTGCATACATGATCTTATACTGGTGATGGTGGAATATTGTTTGATGCCATGGTTAGCAATAGTCCAGCTTTATACAAATATATTAGAACAATCTTGTATTAAACCAGAAAAAAACAGCAACTGAAGCATTGGGTAGCCACAACCACGAGCACAATGTATTTCACTCAGTCGCCACTGAATCTGACGACCCGGTCTCAACGCACTGGCAATTGGTGTATTGGGGAGGGGGGATAAAGGAAGAGCCTCGTGTTGATTTTGTTTATAATATGTCTGCAGGGTCTAGCCCCTACCCGGGCATGTCAGGGCAGCAGGTCATGACGTCAGTCCTCGAGGGCAAGAAGCTGGTGTGTCCGCCCCAGTGCAACAAGGACCTGTGAGTATAAGACGTATAGTGTTGATATGGGCTGTGAGTATAAGACGTTTAGTGTTGATAGACATTGTGAGTATAAGACGTGTAGTGTTGATAGGATCTGTGAGTATAAGGCGTGTAGTGTTGATAGGATCTGTGAGTATAAGACGTATAGTGTTAATAGGGCCTGTGTATATAAGACGTGTAGTGTTGATAGTCCCTGTGAGTAAAAGACGTGTAGTGTTGATAGACCCTGTGAGTATAAGACGTGTAGTGTTGATAGGACCTGTGAGTATAAGACGTGTCGTGTTGATAGACCCTGTGAGTATAAAACGTGTACTGTTGATAGGACCTGGGAGTAAAAGACGCATAGTGTTGATAGACCCTGTGAGTATAAGACGTGTCGTGTTGATAGACCCTGTGAGTATAAGACGTGTAGTGTTGATAGGACCTGTGAGTATAAGACGTATACTGTTGATAGGACCTGTGAGTAAAAGACGCATAGTGTTGATAGACCCTGTGAGTATAAGACGTGTCGTGTTGATAGACCCTGTGAGTATAAGACGTGTAGTGTTGATAGGACCTGTGAGTATAAGACGTGTAGTGTTGATAGGACCTGTGAGTATAAGACGTGTAGTGTTGATGGACCCTGTGAGTATAGACGTGTAGTGTTGATAGGGCCTGTGAGTAAAAGACGTGTAGTGTTGATAGGGCCTGTGAGTATAAGACGTGTAGTGTTGATAGGACTTGTGAGTATAAGGTGTGTAGTGTTGATAGACCCTGTGAGTATAAGACGTATAGTGTTGATAGGACCTGTGAGTATAAGACGTGTAGTGTTGATAGGACCTGTGAGTATAAGACGTGTCGTGTTGATAGACCCTGTGAGTAAAAGACGTGTACTGTTGATAGGACCTGTGAGTATAAGACGTGTAGTGTTGATAGGGCCTGTGAGTATAAGACGTGTAGTGTTGACAGGACCTGTGAGTAAAAGACGTGTAGTGTTGATAGACCCTGTGAGTATAAGACATGTAGTGTTGATAGACCCTGTGAGTATAAGACGTATAGTGTTGATAGACCCTGTGAGTATAAGACGTGTTGTGTTGATAGGACCTGTGAGTATAAGACGTATAGTGTTGATAGACCCTGTGAGTCTCGCGTGATTTCATGTGGAGTAGCTCAGTTTTTATTAAATCATATTTTATTGCATTGGACGTGTATGGCACCCGAGATGAGACTGGAACCTATTGTCTGTCTTCCAAGTGCTAAAAGTTGATTGGCTACATTGGAATGTCGACGCCTGTTTTGTTTCCCTGTCTGACAGGGGTGCACTTTATATCGATATTATTCTATTCTTTATTTTTTTTCAGGTACGCCATCATGTCAAGGTGTTGGAATCATTCAGCCACATCCAGACCGACCTTTGACATTTTATCACGTGACTTTGAGAGGATATTAGAAGAGGAAGGAGACTACATCCAGCTGAGTCAGATGGAGGAGGGAATCTACCAGGTGCTGGAAGGGGTGCGGCCGGAGGAGAAATTGTAGAAGGTGCATGTCCAACAATACATGTGTCGAGTATACCGTATTGTCACCTGCCATCTCGGATTTCATGCTGGGCGGACATTTTCCGGTCATGAAATCGAGGCATGAGCGAGTGAGTGGTTTTAACGCCGCTTTGAAAAGTAATCCGGTTATATCACGTGACAGCTTAATGTGGGAGGAAAGCCCGAAGATTTGCAGGTCTCAGACGTTTACCAGTGCTGAAACCCAAGGGTTTGGCGCTGACATACCTAGAAACACGAACGGGGATCGAACCCATGATCTTAGTTTCGTGACGTGTCCAAGGGACGCAACTCAAGTTGGTTTTAGACGACCAGGCCGCACGTGCACCACCGAGGCAAGAATATGACGGACAACACAGTCACGTTAACATTATTTTCAAGGTTTGTTGACAAATGATGTTGAGATATATCCCACATTATCACGCGGTAAATCAATACTGACATGTGCAGCATATGTCTCTCCCGGTGAATTATTCCAAGATGTATCCCTTGGTCTTATCAACAGAGATTCCAGGAGGGATTTTCGAAGGATTTGTTGTGAAATTCCTGCGACCTCGGACTATATTGTGACTGACGTTTACAGCAGTGATATTCCTCCGCCGGCACATATCGAGGTGAAACAGATTGTATATAAACATCCTTTTGTATAAACATGCATTTATATTGGGCATTTGAACGCTGTTTATTATGATAACTTGACTTTTATTTACTTTGGATCAAGGTCTGTTAATATTGATGTTCCTATTTCTGCATATGAAATATAAAGAAATATTTTTGCATAAACATTTGTACCTCTGTTATCATTTGACGTTGCGAACAAACGTCTTTTACCAGGAGATAAGAGGGTGACTGGTTTATCCAGATTGGCATATTTGCTATCATTATGAGTATTGCTGTGTCAGCACTTTGCTCGTGGTGTCCTCAAGCCACCAAGGTAAACTTTCAGACAGACAGCACAAAGATCAAAAGTATGCCATGTACAAAACAATTATAATAAGTTTCATAAGTTACATCATTTATGTTTGTTTGCTGTTAACATGGCTAACGTCTCACTCAGTAATATTCTAGCCACCTGATGGCAGCCCGTAAATAATCAAGTCCTGACCAGACGATCAACCAAGTCATCGAGACTAACCACACAATGTAGTTACTTTTCCTTCTCTTACCAATCACCACCTTATCCTCCGACACTAGACTACACAACAATTGTCAACATCCAGCATTTTTTTGTCCAAACAAATCAGACTCTGCACAACGTCGATATTAAGGAAACTTACCATCAATTACTGTATCTTTCTGAATAGCTAGTGTCACATGTGATGCATCATCTACTGTTGACAACTACTGGGGAAGAAAAGATTCTTTATAAGATTTCAACTGTCAAGGCAAACATATATTAAGCAGTAATTATTTTTTTAATCAATGTGATTATATATTCATGCAAAGCCAGAGTGAACATATTTGATGTTTGTTGTTTAACGCCGCACTCTGCAATATTCCAGCTATATCACGGCGGTCTGTAAATAATCGAGTCTTGACCAGAAAACTCAGTGGTTGACATCATGAACATCGATCCACGCAATTGGGATCGATGACATGCATCAACCAAGTCAGCGAGCCTGACCACCCTATCATAGTCACCCTTTTCAGCAAGCATTGGTTGCTGAAGACCTATTCTACTCCGTAACAACTCATGAAGGATTTACTGTAGGTCATTGCAACTTGGAATATGTCATCCTTAGGGCTGGATCCAGATTGGAAAAGATCCCGAGTGACCGAAGTGTCAGAAAAGGGAAAGTGAAGGTCCTCCTGCTGGATAAATGACCCGACAGGATGGTGTAGCAAGGCTTCTTGAGTTGGAGGAAGCTTGTCCATCAGTCGACTGTTGTTGCTGAAGCATTCGGAAGTGACCAGAATGTATGTTCAGCACTTGAAATGGATGGTAGGCTAGTTGCAAAAAGGCTTCTGTGACTTCATCTTGAGCCTGCCAAGGTTGACGTTTTACTTTTCCAAGCAAAGCCTGATGTGTCACACCCTGAAAAGGCATGAAACACTGGTAAAGCACGAGTATGATGCTTTCCCAAATGGTTACCCATGTTATTGATGCGATAGTATACTAGTATCAGCTTGGGATTGAAGAGCAATCAGGTCATGAAATTTTGGATGGCCCAAACACCTGTATCCATTTTACAATCGGTAGTAAAGTTTTACCATTTGCCAAAGCATGCAATGATCCTGATATTATATAGTCAACAATTATACAACCGTTGACGTAAGGAACTTAAATAATTCTTCCATATTCTGAGAATCGCGCAGGGAGTCCATCCACTTGACTGGCATCTGATGCTCCTCTTTTCTCTTTTAGACTGTCCGGAATAAATTCCACATGATGTCCAGTCTACGAGCATGCTGTAGTTGACGAATGATATATAGAATGAAAACAATGTCACCAAAAATAATCAAAGTAGTATGCAAAGAATGGACAACAACTGCTCCATCCGCCCTTGTTTTGATGAATGTTGAGCTTAAGTTTCTCCCAACCTAATTGCTATATCAGATTTAGCAATTTATAATGTGTCACCATACTTAAGATGGTGAACACTAGATTTTGAACCTTTAATCCTTTGTATCATATTCCAAGCCTTAGACATAGGTGTTCTGGAATTTATTTTCGAAACATAGTTTCGCCTAAATTGGCGTTTATTCTGTTTAAACGTACGACGAGCTTTTGTATTTAAAATTATGAATTGATTAAAGTTATGGACAGTTCGGTGGTGGCGGAAATATTGTTCTTCCTTTTGTCCTAGGTTTCCTAGCTTGTTTACAGTCAGAGTTGAACCATGGTTTACGAACATGTGCTGGAGCTGTAGTTGGAGACAATCTACTGTCTTCTCACTTATCACCACATCTGTGACAGGTAGCTTCCCGATGACATGATTTTTAGCCATGGCCAGACTTATGACAACTGTAGCATCTCAGGGGATTAGGGAGAAATATACCTTTAAATTGCAGTAGCCTGCCTTGAGCGATTCCGGACGTGATGGAAGACTAAATGTGAATAGATATGTATTTGTCTTTGCGACTTCGTTGTCTTTCCTTGTAGTAAAACGTTTAACATCAGTGACTCTGAAACAATGTCACTCTCAGTCTGTTTCATATTTAGATCTATGCATAAAGATACAGAGTGACAAACACTCTCCACACGCCTCTATGACAAGAGAATGAATTCAACTTTCCAATAGTCAACTTTCCTTTCATGTCGAGCAATATTCCAGCAGCTCCAGCCTTTGGTGTTTACATTTCACAACTTCTGAGGTACAATCGAGCATGCTCTTTCAACCAAGATTTCAAAGATTGTCAACGACTCTTGCTCAGAAGGTGTTTGATCAAGGTTACAACATTCAAGGCCTCAGTAAAACTTTCAAAAAGCTTTTAAGTAGTCGTGTGGAGGACATTTCCAAATTTGACGCATCAGTTACAAAAATGATGTCCGTGCAATTCCCTGTTTTGACTCGGCCATATTGGATTTTGGGGCATAGAACATACAGCAGGCAATACTTTTGATGGCTCCTGTCCTTTAACGTCTAATTGTGACAAAAGGCATTCACTTGCAAAGTTTGGTGCTTTTATCCACTGTGTAACAATGATTGCAAAATCTGGTGCTAAGCACCTCACAAGTAATGACAGACAGACAGACAGACAGTTTATTCAGTAATTTAGGCATCAAGGTCCATAGTACAATGCAGATTGGATATTAACATTTGTCACGTGATGTACATGATTAGATTTTAAATCTAGTTACACATTCCTCATTATAAAGACATGTTTAAAGAAAACAGAAACAGCATGGATCACATCAGGATTTTCAGACTTTAGCAGATTTATCATAAACTGAAAAAATACCTTGCATTACGTGGAGAGATTTATACCTTAAATGTGAATACGTTTCACATACAGCTGTATAAGTAAGACATGGTATTCATCTGCTACTTCTCCGGACGAACAGTTTGTACAAAAAGAGCTCCCAAAATCACTGTCTTTGGACCTGCGACACACATTTACAATAAATTTGTGTCATGAAATTCTAAGTTTACAATAAGCTCTTATTAAACTTTTATCATTTAAACAAGTTAAATATCTTTCAGTTTGAAGCAATGATTTTACTTTGCTGTAATTGATAAGATAAAGTTATTCAGACATATTTTGGTGCCACTGTTGAAAAAATACATCCTTTAGTCTTTGCTTAAATGAATATAAAAATAACTGTGGATCTTCCACATCTTGGAAAATCCATACATATGAAAAGTCACTAACAAATAATAGATTTCTCACATTTGAAATCCAATATTTTTTACCATTATCATCAGGTACCTTTTACGTTTGGTAACACTGATATGGGTATCTACCAATTCAATTCTTTATTTCAGTATAAAGGCCATAGGCCCACGTACAAATACTTATTGAAAAATACAGTATGAGGCAGATGACAGAGGGTCATAAGTGACAGTATTTCGGATTGCAAGTGCTTCCAGTATATACTTAACACAATAAGTTACAATACTAGTGCGGTTACAAGATAATAGAGTATTATATTTAAATAAGGTAGAATTGGAAGAGTAATAAATAGGTAAATACTTATTTCTTAAATATCTGTAACATGGGCAGACAAGCATAAAATGAAACTCATCTTCAATTTCCTGTAAATTACAATATCTGCACTGCCTATTACAGTACTCTATACCGCATCTTCTACCTAAATTTACCATCAATGGCAACTCGCCAATTCTTAACAAACAAAACATACGTCTATAATGACGGCTTGTGATTTCACAGAGATACTTTTCAACTGTTAGCAATGACTTATATTCCTTATACATTGATAATTTACGTATTTCACAAACTTTACAATACCAGTCCTGTTGGTTACAGTCTTTTAACCTTTGAATAAATGCATTAATAAAGAGGTTCTCATTACCAACTTCCTGCGAAATCCACACGTGGCCAAATCCATAACTGAATAATAGTCTTTTGACACAAGTTACCCATGTAGTGCGATAAACTTCATCTAAAGATTTCAGCATTAAATAACATTGCTTAGGGTATCTATAACTGGGTAAAGATAACAATTTCAACCAATATTTAATACATCTCTTGTGATAATCAATAAATAAGCCATATCTACCACATTCGCCAAGGGCAGCAACATTTGTAACATGACTTCCAATTCCAATAGTAAATTTACAGAATTTAATCTGAAATTTTTCAATAGCTGCAATTTTTGAATAGCCCCATATTTCTGAAGTGTATAATAATACAGGCTTAATTTGAATGTCAAATATTTTAAAAGGAAATGTACGGGTATGTTCTTCAAACAATGCTGTAATTTCTTAACGACGAACAGAGCCTTATTTGCCTTCTGAACAAGAGAGTTGATACCAGTCGTCCAACACAGCCGATTTGAAAATAACAAACCTAGATAATTATAATAGGTAGATACTTTAACATTAACATCTCCAAACCTCCATTTCTCAGTACTCCTAAGTTTTCCACCATTTCTGAAAACTAAAATTTCAGTCTTACTATGGTTAACTTCTAAACCCCATTTAGTACAGAAAGATTTAAGGATATTAAGTTTTCGTTGGAGACCAACTACAGTATCATCAATTATGCACAAATCATCGGCATATAGTAACAACAAAATGTCTAGAGATTCTTGACTCACAAATATTCCCCTCTCGCCGGAGGAGTGCAACATTGATTCTAATTCAACAATAAGC